GGCTTAAAATATAAAAATATCAAACATTGTTAAAATTTCACAGTTTCATGAGATGTTGCACTACCGGAAGGATTTTTAATTTTCTTTGAGCAAATTACCGGGAACTCTCGTCCAATTGGATTGTTAAAGGCGAACAACGAGTTTAAGTATTCGTGAAAATTGATTAATTGTATATTTTATAAGCTGAAAGAAAAAATGCAAATAAAAAGTTGAGGATCAATCAAAGAAAAAAGATTTTAGTATTATTTTACACTTTGAGAGATACAAGTTAGTGCATCATTTCATTTTCTGGGTTACCGTGCACAGAGTGATACGGTTTGTTCCGTTGGAGACTGTAAACCTGTCTACCGTATGTAACCGAAAGTAAAAATTGTGTCATTGCAGATGTCAGCCACATATAGTATGCAAGAAACAATTCAGAGATCCAAGCAAACGTGCTATAGAAGAGCTCCTGGAAAATTTCCAGTTGATATATCCGCTTCAAGTCTCTTTCAAGATTCCACTTTTAATCCATTTGGCAACTTCATCGATACGAAGGATGATTGTGTATTATATCAAATAATAATAAAACTTCATGAATTTTCAGCGAGTTTTCAGCACGAGAGGAGAAGCCTTACGATCAGTAAGAGGCTATGACATTGCCCATTAACTAATATGACAAGTTTTAATCAAGAAGTTCGGGAACCTATAACTATAAAAAATCATTGTATAACGACTTCGAAAAATAAAATTACAAAGAGTGGAAATCAATTACTGAAGCGGTGTAAAGAGTCTTTGATAATTAGAAGCAATAAATGAGAACATAGAACATTCTACTATTGAAATGACACTGAAAGTAGATTGCCACCATGAAAAACAGAAAAGAAGAATTGGACTGTCGATAGCCTTCGACAACTTCTGATGAAATTAATCCAGAAAAACAAAGCAGTAAATATGAGCCAAACTCATACAGTAATGCTAAAGGTGAAACCTCCGGTTTGTTTGCAGTAAACAATCCAAATTAGCCAACGCTAAAAGTCTTGAGTCAACCAATAATTCAGAGAAAATTAGTAAAGATAAAAGACTCAAAAGTACAATCAGTAAATCAGTTAACCCTAATCAGTTAACTTCAAAAAAGAGAAATATACAGTACCATCCCGATAACTTTTCATTATGAAATAGAACATCACTACACAGTATAAAGACCATTTCAAAAAATTCGAAGTGGTCTTCATACTGTACAACTTTTTTTGTCAAGAATGAAGGAATAACAAATACATTTGACATAATCTTTTGATCTGACATATACAAATGCAAATGCAATACTTAATGGAAGAAAGATTACGCGCATAAAAAACTTCTGAAAAAAGAACTTACTTCGTCACTCTTTTTTTTCTTTCTTTTACAATCGCCTTTTTCAATTTCATCTACTTTTAAATCAACACTTTTGTTTAATCTGAAAATTAACAAACAATCATTTGCAAATAATCATCTTATGCATTTCTAAATTTTTATTTCATTTGGGTTATTTAATAAGGTTTTCCATTCAGACTTTAAGTTGGACGGAAGATTCTCCAGTGAACTGGATTACATACCAAATTATTTGCAATGCAGTGCAATAATCTTGCTAAAAATATCATAAAATTAAGAAAAATAAATTTGAGGTGGATTGTACAACGGCAACTTTAATTTTCACTGTATAGACTCACGTAAGGAAAAGGCAAAAAAATTCGAAAAAATAAAAACTTTTCGAAAGATGTTCCATCGATGAAATCATCTTTAATCCCAAGTGCAGAACGCATTCGGTCACGATTCTCTATAGCAACCTTAGCACGAACATGAGTATCACGACTGTCCATCTCTGCATCTATATCTAATTCTCCAGATGCCACTTGGCTTTGAAGAA